ACTCTTTCCTTCTTTTGCGTAGTACAGCTCAGCTAAGTCTTTCCATAAAGATGCTAAATCACCTTCAACATCACATAACTGTCTTCTTAAACCAAGGACTATTTAAGTGTATTAAAATGAAACGGTGGGGTTTAGTACTCCAAATGAACTCTTAAAAAAGAAAAAAAAAACTAATCTTGGCATCCTATCACTATGTGATATTTTGTACATCTTACTGTATTTACAAGTTTATTTATCAAGGATTATCCATCTTGCTAATAGCCTATTATTTATTTCACTTTTTGTTGGTCTTTATATCCTTTTATTAATGTGCTAAAGGAAACTGTATATCTATTTTGGAACTCTTTGAATAGTCTAAAATAGACTAAAAATGGAGTATTTTATAGTTTAAGTTACAAACCAAGGTGACTCCCCCCAGATACATATCTTGGTTTACCACGATTCCAGAGAAAACTATCTTGTTTTAAAATATTTGGAGTAAAATTTTATTTGCATTACAAATAGGATACAAAAATAGTTGAATCAGGATACAGAAATCTGCTGTGTTTGGACTAGTTATCCCTGTTTTATTTTTTCAGATGTGCTTAATTTTATGGTGTAACTAAAGATTTTGTTTGTGTAATGCATGATTAAGACAATAAAGTATTTTTTCTAGTCTTCCAAAAAACTTTTCTGATCAGTTTGCGAGTTTTGATGAGTTTTGTAAGGTTTTTGTTTTACAGACTATGAATCAGCAAATTTTTAAGATTGTACCACATAGCGAACGTACAGCTGTTGAAAAATGTATATAAAATGCATATAATAAATATTAAATTGTGTACCTGTATGTTACTGTTGGCTACATTATTTTGTGTTGAATAATAAAGTGCAATACTTTACTCTCCATTAAAGTAGGAAATGGAGATGATTTCTCAGTGAGTCCTTCATTTTTATGCTGTTCTTTTAAACTTTGTACTGTTTATTGATATTCTAATAAGATTAGAACAGTTAATACTGTTAAGAATGCCTTTCTAAGTATTTCACCCCATTTGGGGATTTTAAAATCTTCTATTGAAGTAAGTTAGATAATTCAAAATAACCAAAAAACAAAACCAGCAGATATGCAGTTTTAAATCATTTCCTTAAGATACCCTATTACTTTATTAAATCTGAATTTCAGTTAATAGTGTTGTCTTTCCTATCTAGCCAAACCTGTTTCCCACAGAAAAGTTCAGCAGAGAATAAACATTGCATTGTTCATTAATTAGAAGTTATCCTCATAAATGTTAAGTATTAATATCTTCAAACTTTTCCTTCAACAAGGTAATAATCCTTTTTCTTTGAAGGGAATTGCAAATGCAATTAGAAGGTAACATTAGAAAACTTAACGTGGCAAAATTCTATTTGAATGCCTACTTCAAAAAAAGAAAATTACATTGTATGTACATTGAGAAATTTTGTCACCTACCATAAAAATCGAAATGTCAATTTTAGTCATTGCTGGTGAAACACTAAAAGTTTTCAGAAATTTTCTTAAAGTATTGTTTTTTTGGTTTTCTGAATTGAACATTCAACTTAATGAACAAATTAAAGAGGGATTTTCTCTTCTTTTTTTTTTTTTTTTTTTTTAAATAATTTAGGAACAAGCTTTCCAAAGCTAGTCTTTTTTTTTTTTTTTTTTTTAAATAATTTAGGAACAAGCTTTCCAAAGCTAGTATTGTTTCTGGCAGCTGTTCCAAGCCAATGCATTACTGTTGAACTGAAATGTGATTATCATCATTGCAATGCATAAACATTCATCTTTTTTGAAATGTATTAAAACTGAAATGAATAAAAATAGTATATATGTTTATTTTTATCTATTTTGGTTGTATTTTCTCTACAATATTAAACATTTGGAAGAGACTAAAAGGATGCAAAAAGAATATCTTATTTGTGTGCTTCCATTTGTGACTTAATGGGAAATTATGTAGATTCATTTGACTATTAAATGGTGCTTTATACATAAAGTTTAAGAGTATTTTTATATACAAACTTTTTAATATGTCGACTTCCCCAATATTTAATCATATTCTGCTCTTTTCATATTTATTCATGTACTTTTTCCATATTTCAAAGTAAGTTATCCACTGAAGACCAACATCTCATTTAATGCATTAAGGCTTATAAATAGGCTAGCATAACAAATTTAGGCATGCTTGCAAAGTTGAATTATATCTTTTAAAAAATCCTTTTACTCTATTTTTAGTTAACCCTTTATCTTATGTTTAGTTCTAAAAAATAATTAACAGTAACTTAAATATAAAGTGTTCACTTCTACTCTCTTGCTGCTCTTTAAGTCAAAATATTAGTTTCCCTCGTTACCTCAAAACTTTGTTCTTTATAAAATTTTTTAAAGAGCTAATGACTAGAGGCTGGGTTTTCATTTAATTTTTTAAGGAGTGGTATTCTCAGCTGAAAGTTGTCTGTTTATTGGGAAAAAAACACGTTAAACCCGTTTTTGTTGTTAAAATTCTCCTCGTTACATGAATCGGTCATATTTGTAGCTTTATAAAGGGTGGAGGCAGTGGCGGTCAGGGGAGTCATGACTTCCCATATTCTCTTTGGTCAAATTTTTATGTAGTGTCAAAGGCAATTTCGTTTCTGCTCTCTGATACATAAGCTTTTACACAAGGTATAAAATTGTTAAACTCAAAAGATTTGTTGGAGTATAAATTTTCCAACCAGTTAACACCTTTTTCAGGTCAACTGGTTGTAAACGATTTCAGATAGGATCAGTGTACGTGTGATGGGAAATAGAGTGTGCAGATGAATGAGAGGATCCTGTCCTTAGAGAAGACGGGCAGGATAAGATATGACAGCACTTCCGTCGGAGAGGAGAGTTCTTGGTGAGGTAATGACAGTTACATAAAGGGAGTTTTGATCACTTTTCTTAGGAACCAACTTCACAAGGATGTTTAAGTAAAAATACTATTAATTACAAAACAACTTTGTTGAACCAAGTAATCAACTGTTTAACCTGGTACTGGCTGTGCATAATGCCTAAAACAGTAGGCATTCAATAAGTAATTGGAACAGAAAATAAATATATTTAGTCTTACTGCATGATTTTAAGAAAAAACTCGATCTTTCCACACGAAGTGGTTAATGTGTCAATAGAATTTTTACCATACCCTAGGGGGAGACACTTGGAATAATAAGTAAGGGACCTTAGAATAATAGTCACTATCAGTTTTATTGCTTAAATAGTCAAAGTAGAATATTCTTTCCTGCAGTTCTCTTTGAAAGGTGTGCTTTTCTTTAAAGCTAAGTGTTTATAAGTGGTAAGTAAAAATTTACCAACTTAATATTTTTTTCAATACATGGTTGACTTTTAGAGTATAAGCCAAATACATCAATACATATATAAAATTAAGGCTATAAATAGAAAAATACCAGGCAATTCTTCAGTCTTGTTCAGTGTGATATTTGTTGTTATTATGAAAGTACATTACAAAAGAGGCTTGATACCTAAATCGCTTCCATTTTGTCTGTAATTATAACTTTTAGTATGTTAAGAAACTTTTAGTATGTTAAGGAAGATCTTAAAACCAGATTGTTGACTGGTTTTAAGACGACATCTACTTGGGTCAATATATATTTGAACTAAGTTGAGCTGTTCTCTATGTGTTTCTCTTTCATTTTCCTTGTATGTGTAATACAGAATTAGAGAAGGAATGTTGCTTTTGGTCTAAATATCAGCTGCTTTTATTGAGCTATAGAATTTGCATATCTATACATGTAATATGCATGTTAAAATAGAACTCTTAAAATTTTAATCTATGGTATCTACTTTCCTGAGTTTCTAAGGTTCGTGATTATGAAGCCTCAGCAGAGTGTTTTGAACAATGGAGTCTGAACTGTAATTAGAAGGCAGCTTTAAATGAATGCTTATTTGCTTACATTTTTGCCATCTTTAGTATAATAGTTTTGTGTCTGATCTTAGTATGCTATATAGTATTTCAGTATTACTAAAAACAACTTATACATCCCGTTGCACTTTTTCTTTCTGTTGTCAAAATGTCACCATTATTGCTGGGATTCTAAGAAATCTCTACAGATGCCTCTGATGACATCAGGAACAATTGGTTCTAATCCTGTGAACTCTCTTGTGAAGAAAGCATGCGACTCCTTTGGTTTAGAGGCCATATCTTTCAGGTCATCCAGAGGTGCCCAAGCCACACCAACAGAGAAGATGGTGATACCTACAATAGAAGTATTTTTAAGTCAATTAAAACCAAGTTCCAGCTTATGTATAAAATTACGGGTATATATTTTTTACACATTAGTACATAGTTGCAGACAAAACTGCCTTGTAGTGCCTGAAGAACTAAATCCCCTGTACCAAATTGTTGGGCTGGGTTTAGCAGTAATCGTGATGAGAATGGCTAAACAGTTGGGTCAAAACCACAGGTTTTGCCATCAGTGCAATTTACCACCTTAACAGACAAGTCATATGATCACTGAAAGAAAAAAAAATTTTGATAAAGTTCAACATCCATTCATGATAGTACACAGTAAGCTAGAAAGAGAAGGAAGCTTTCTTAACCTGATAATATCTAAAGACAAATAAGAACAAACCCTACAGCAAACATACTTAGCGAAATGGTGAAAACTACTCAGAGTTTGGCATGAGAAAGGACAACCTGCTATCATCACAATTAATTGTTATACTGGAGTCATAGCCAGTATAATAGAGCAAGAAAGAGTGACACAGAAGATGGGATATATAAATGATGAAAGTTTTCTAAGGCTCTTGCCTTGTCTGGGGAACGGTGACAAGTCCTCTGTGAGTGATAATTGTTTCTCCCATTTCAGTATGTGTTGCATTAGCAAACTGGCCAATAGTAAGAAATTGACAGGGACTTCTCTGGTGGCACAGTAGTTAGAAATCTGCCTGCCAATGCAGGGAACACTGGTTCAAGCCCTGGTCCGGGAAGATCCCACATGCTGCAGAGCAACTAAGCCTGTGTGCCACAACTACTGAGCCTGTGCTCTAGAGCCCACGAGCCACAACTGCTGAGGCCCACGTGCCTAGAGCCCATGCTCCGCAACAAGAGAAGCCACTGCAATGAGAAGCCCACGCACTCTGTAGCATAGAGTAGCCCCCACTCGCAGCAACTAGACAAAGCCTGCACACAGCAGTGAAGACACAATGTGGCCAAAAATAAAGTTATTAAAAAAAAAAAAAAAAGAAATTGACAGTCTTTAATCCCAAAGCAAAAGTTTTCTGATGATGAAAACAGCCAGAGACTTTCCTGGCAGTCCAGTGGTTAAGACTCCATGCTTCCACTGTAGGGGGCATGGGTTTGATTTCTGGTTGGAGAACTAAGATCCTGCATGCTGCACAGCGCAGCCAAAATAAAGTAACAAAAACCGCTAAAAAATGTCTGAAGTGTAGACTACCATCTATGTACTGGAGGAAATCCCCCATAAAATTTTGAGAGTTTCTGAAATAGTTACTCCCTTCTATCCAAAGCTTCATCACCCTTCTAGTGGTATACAGTGATCAGCGTTGTGAATACTTAAGACATACATAAAGCAGGTTTCGATGATGTAAAAGCTACTTGAAACAATTACTGATTTATCATCACCAGTTAATCCTCCCCTCTCCCTGGCGAAAGAAGTCAAAAAAATTTCTCCCCTTCGGTTTTCTTCACTTTTAATTCTACATTCAAGCTCAGATTGTCAAGCTCAGGCCCAGTATATAATTACAGTTAACAAACCAAAACAGCTGTGCCCTAGCCCTGAACACCTATCCTATCTTCTGGCTTTTGTTAACTTTCACTTTGCTATCACTAAAGGATAACTTTCATGAAAATAGTGCAGCCCAACCTCCTGAAGTTCAATTAATCACATAGGGAGAATATATTTGAATTTATTTAGCTCACTTTATGTAGCCTGAATCCAATTCTGTTAACCATAAATTCAGTAAGCTACACTTTTAAGGAGTATGATAGCAAAAAGGTCTTCAACGTAAGTTAGTTGAAGAATACATTAAGACAGATGTATAAAAATAAGCCATTGTATATATAGCTTAAATTGCAGGTATCCATTCTCTATTCTACTTAATAAAAACAGTATTCCGTCAATACCTATAAAAGTACACAAGTGCACTAGCAGAGGTGCTAATGTATAAAAGGAAAAGTCATTAGGAATTAAATAGGGAAAAGGAAGTACAGAGGAGTATAGAAAAATGTAAGGCTCTTCATTCTCCCCCTCCCAAGTTAGCATTTTTTTTTTTTTTTAATATTATTGGGGGCTTCCTTGGTGACACAGTGGTTGGGAGTACGCCTGCCGATGCAGGGGACACGGGTTTGTGACCCGGTCCGGGAGCATCCCACATGCCTCGGAGCGGCTGGGCCCATGGGCCATGGCCGCTGAGCCTGCGCGTCTGGAGCCTGTGCTCTGCAACGGGAGAGGCCACAGCGGTGAGAGGTCCACGTACCGCAAAAAAAAAAAAGATTGGACTCCCAATCACTCCGTTTTTATCCCAGGAAAGGGAACCTCAGCTCTTTCTTGGCCTGTTGATCTCAGTAACACACATGCTAATGTCTTCAGGAACTAGTGGCCTTTGCCAAAGGTAATATTAAGGTTGGGGTAAGAGAAAGAACCTTTTTATACCCTTTTATAAGTGTTTCATTATCTCAAGGGGGAAAAAAGACACTGCAAAGGAAATCTAAGTGGAACAGGGTTAAAGTTTTAATTGGTGATCTTAGAAAACTCATGGCAGACTGAAAACTACTTAAAAAAAAAAGGATAAATTATCAAATAGCAGATTCATAGTAAGTTATGATAAAGTGTAATTGTGGGGTTATATATTCCAAGTTTGAGCCAAACATGAACACCTGTAACATTTCCTTGACATATGACATAGCTCTCATGGCAATTCTCCCCAAGATGCAGTGGTTAGGTAAGGATTCAGCCACACTTACTGGGTTTTGTTTTGGTTTTTTTTAGAGGATTACAAAATCTTTATTTTTTTACTTTTTTGGCCACATCACACAGCATGGGGGATCTTAGCTCTCCGACCAGGGATCAAACCCACACCCCCTGCAGTGGAAGTGTAGAGCCTAACCACTGGCCTACCAGGGAAGTCCCTGCCTGGATTTTAATACTGGCCTCACCACTTACTAGGTGTGTGATTTGGGAAAGTTTGTTTCCTTATCTGTGGAATGAGATTTAGTAGGGCTGCTTTGACAATTAAATCGGTTAATACTGGGTAAAACTCTTAGAACAATGACTGCCATCCTGTAGATGTTTGTTCAGTCAAACAAACACTTAAGTTTATATTTACTCCTAAAATTCACTGAACCTCTCCCCAGTTCCCTTCCCAGACAAAGGACAAGGACCTTACCTGCATCATGTGCAGCAGCAGCAGGCCCTCGAACATCATCATAGGACTGCCCATCTGTGACAATTACCAGGAAGTTCTTGTTGGGGCTGTCCCTCATGGGACCAAACACATTTCTAACAGTAAAGGAAATGGCATCACCAGTAGCTGTCCCACCACTCATATAGCGGATGTTTCTGATAACGGCTAGGACATTCTCTTTGGTGCTATAGTCAGTGAAACTGAATTCTGTGCGTTGATCGTAGGTGAACTGTACGGCAGCTATCTTGGCACCAATGTCTGAGATTTCAAAAATCTTAGCTATGTTGGAAACAAATTCAAGCATGAGGCGGAAATTACTTTCTCCAACACTACTGGAGCCATCAATTAGAAAGGCAATGTTCACTGAGTTATAACAGGTCTTGCTGCACACCATTTGCTCATGAGTGCAGAGCTTCTGTACCAGAGGTTTTACGTATTTTGTGGTGCCAAACCAATTGGGCATGTGGTAAGAGAAGAAGCCATTACTCCGACAGACAGCCTAATGGGAGAGACACATAAAAGATAACCAAAGGAATCAAGTTGTTTCTTTAAAATTATGAAAACATTAAATCTTGAATCTTCAAAGTTAATCCAGATATGGGCCAATCAGCACTACGCCTAGAGGTCCAAAACTGAATCACTACTATAAGAGAAAACACTCTCAACTCCTTACCTTGTCAACAAATGCAACATCCTGAACCATTCCCAGTTCCTCAGGGATAGGCTTAGCCACAGAAACTATAAATACATTGACACCAAACTCTCTGGCCACAATGCCTGCTTCCTCAATGTCATCAGAAGGCCAGCCATCAATGAATACCACCACCACTTTGGGAATCCCTTTTCTCGCTCCAGTGTCTGCTGTGAAGAATTTCTGGGCGGTGTGCTTCAAGGCTTTTCCTAGGTTTGAAAAAGAAGCAAACTGGAACGGCAGCACTGCTCAAAATGACACTTCTATTTCCCTGTACGAACTTGATGCCTCCAAGTTTAAGAATTTAACTTATATAGAACTCAGTTCTTTAACACGTGCATCAGATGGGAAAGTTTAATTATCCATCATGCCTATTTTTTGTCTTCACAACCCACATTTCTTCCCCCATCACCTACCTCCCATAGCGTTAACATTTCCTTTCCTTACATCAATCACCAGTCAGAAACATAAACCTGACCCCCACTTCTGTACCTGTGCTCTCTATCTAGCCCCTTAGTGACTGACGAGTAAGTCTACGGACTCAGAACAAGAAGTCTCCCCTCAGAAGGTCCAGCATTCTATTTTAATTCTTTCTGTCACATCTGCATTCATTAGATGAGTCTGTTGATCTTTGCTTCTTTTAAATATTCTAAACAGGTACTTCTCTAAAGTGACATCTGCCCTACCTGAGGATTATAAGTCACAACGTCTTATATTTTTTTTAAATTAGCAATACCAATAAACCCTTTGGTACATTTTCCATTATAAATTAAATATCTCAGATACTAAGTGCAGACCTAACCAAGATCAGTGCCAGGAAGAAGAGTTTCACTTCTGCTTATATAAAATAGCATAATACTGTCTTACATGTCTGATCATTCATAACCCTCTCTGTGTTACATCCCAGATGCCAAAGTCTACTTACCTGTATTGGAATTACCCCCTCTGAAACCTACTTCCTTTATGGCAAATAAGACATCTTTGGCTGATGTAAAGTTTTTCAAGTAAAATTCTATTTTGGGATGTTCACTAGGCAAAAAAAGGAAAAAATGTTATCCAGGGAGAATTGGAAATGTAAAACAAACAAGCAATATTATATACCTTAAAAAAAGTCTTTAAATTGGACAATACCTAAGTTTCTTAATTTCACAGCATACAGCCAACTAGCGTATATTGCATCCTTACTTGAATTTTTAGGGTTCTTTCAAAAAATATAACAAAAACAACTGCTACCTTGAGGGTTTATTGTATTCTGGGTAATATGCTAAATACATACTACATGTATAATCTCATTTCATCATAACTGTACAAGGTAGGAATTATTATCCCTATTACATAAACGGAGGCCCAGAACACTTAGGTAATTTACCCAACAAAACATAACCACATTTTAAATTCAGGTTTGTCTGGCTCCTAAACTATATGAAGCACCTGAAACCAGGTGGCTCAGGGCACTGGGCTTAATGGAAATCTGCAGAGATGGGCACCAGATAGTTGGAACATAGCTGGGTGTGAGTCTAGGTCTGCTCCAGTGGGGGACCTTGGAAGCCCTGAATAGTCTGGGTCTATTAACCCAGGTCTCTGGTCAGAAGAGGCAATTTCAGTGACACTAAGGCCAACATTTTTAAAATGAGAAAACTTACAAGGAAACGAATTATAAAGTATTATAATATTGAATTTTTCTTATGATAAATGATATTGACATTTGCTAATCTTACAATTATGTGTATTTTAATAGATTTGGGATTTTTCATATTTAATAGTAAAAGAATTTCAGCTTTTATAACTTACTCTGTGTTCATTAGAGACCATGTTGAGTGAAAACAATTAGTTAAAGCACAATTTGTTGTGTTTAAAACTTTTAGATAAGTCAAAATTTCATCAGTGCAAAATTTTAAGATCTTAGCATTATCAATTGCCACTAAGTCACGATTTCTGAAGGAAATAGCACTCATTGTATTTCTGCATACCTGGTGGCATGATTTCTGTATACTTGGTGTAATGGTTGGGTCACAAAATCAGTTTTCATGAGTCGATAACCTTTTCATTTTTATGGTCACTTTTCAACTATCCAAATTATTATTTATGAGATTTAGTCTTATTTTTGCATCCTTAATGAGACATTCTCTTATTCTACTTAAATATAAACTCTTGACATAGTTTATCTATTCTAATGTTGTTCCTAAAATAGAAAAATCATAAATCAGGAAGTTTATAAAGAAGCTAGTCTTTGTATGCGTCTACAAAGTAGTGTAGCTTTCCTCTTGAAAAAGAGGTAAAAACAGCAAAGAAAAAATATTAGAAGAAAAATATTGAGGGGAATTTGCCCTAGGAGATGTTAAAATATACAGTAAAGCTACAATAATCAAAGCATTGTAGAAAAGATGTTAGAATTAGCATATGGGTCAAAGAAACATTTGTCTAAAGTTATAAATTGATATCACAAATGAATGGAATAAGAAGCTCATTTTTTTAAGATATGGGACAATGGTTAAATTATGTATAAATCAACAAAGTTAAAGATTCTTACACCAAAAAGAATTCTAAGAACCAATTGTAAAAAACAAGATAAGAACAAATGAAATATAAATATTTGTAATCCTATTTGTGACACCCTTACACACAGCTGATAGTAGCTTAAACTGAATCAACTTTCTAGAAAGCAATTTAACTGTTTATTTCAGAAGCCTTAAAAATGTCAGAACCCGGGCTTCCCTGGTGGTGCAGTGGTTGAGAGTCTGCCTGCCGATGCAGGGGAAACAGGTTCGTGCCCCGGTCCGGGAGGATCCCACATGCCGCGGAGCGGCTAGGCCTGTGAGCCATGGCCGCTGAGCCTGTGCATCCGGAGCCTGTGCTCCGCAAAGAGAGAGGCCACAACAGTGAGAGGCCCGCGTACCGCAAAAAAAAAAAAAATGTCAGAACCCTTTGACCCAATCTCACTTCTGGGAATCTAGCCGAATGAATTTATCAGAGATGGCACAAGGATGACATAAGGATGCACAGTGTAATTGTGAAAAAACAATAGAATGGTTAAATAAATCATGCTAAGGAACATTATGAAACATCATTTTTTGAAGAATATTTGTGATACTGGGCTCACAATGCTCAGTATTGTGAGCATCAGTATTTTGATGCTCACAATACTGAGGGATTAAAAAAAAAAGCAGGCTATAAGACATTTTTATAATCTGAGCTTTTGAAAAAGAAATACACACATATGTACCATCAAATATTTTCTTAAAATACTGAAAGGAAATACAACATTTTACATTGATTATCTCAGAGGGGTATATTTGGGAAATTTTTTTTCTTTGTGTTTTATATGTTTTTCAAGCTTTCTCTAATGAGCATATGATAATCCTAACAGACATGAATAAACACTACTATACAATAAATAAAAGGTTAAGCTTCAGATTTCCAATCAAGCGAATATGGAAAGAGCTAGAAAGAATAACGACCAAATAGGAAAAATAAACATCACTGCTTCCTCCTTCAGGGAAGAGAAATTAGGAATTGAGCAGAGCAGATGTGCAGAAGTAGTCTGTATGAGCAACAAGACTTTTAGCCTACCTCCTGGTCCTCAAATAGATAGCATATAATTCTCTAAATCCTTTTATTCCAAAAAGGAAGCACTTATACCTACCCAGGCTGCTCATTAAATTCTGACTTCATAATTTGGGAATCCAGACTGTCCACACCTCAATTTGTTTATATTGAACTAAAAGGATTGATCACTTTTCATCATTCAAGACATCATTCAAGTCTCCTCCCATTTTAACAAGGTTGGTACCTGGCTTGAACAAGGCCCACGTGCGGTCCTTCCGTTCCAATTCCTAACATTAGAGCCACTTTCCCAACAAAATTCTTCTGTAGATTAAATCGGCGTTGCCCGATATTAAAACTTCCATCGATCAGAAATGCAATGTCTGCTTTACAGTCTGTGAACACACAAACAAGTCTTTCCATTAGCAGTTTCAAGAGAAGGGAGGGAGAGAGAGAAAATGTTATATTCCCAAATGGATATCTGGACTCTTACCCTTATTGCCAGTTTTCTTCTCTGGTGTTTTCTTTAGTCGTTTACCTGAAACAAAAAAAAGCACCTGGCATTAGCAAAAGGAAGACAGTTCCATAGAAAGAGACCCACAAGGGAAAAGCTCATGATAAGGAGCGTCATTCTTGAAAATACTTTAAAAAAATATTAATTTCCTCATGATTTTCTGGACTAGGGAAGCAATGCCCCAACAAAAAAACATGTCAGGACTGTAGTAGACCTACATATTTAATATGCCTCCAATCCAGGACTTCGATATCCCAAACCCACAGTTGAGGTAGGATTGGAAACTCAGAGTTAGATTCTAATGTTCTTAATTTCTTTGACTTTAAAATTGCCACAGTCTTAGAAAGGGAGATCCCTGGCTATTTCTCAAATAGACACGCACTCATTTCTTTTATTCATATGACAAATGGAACTAGAAGTTCATGGTACTTTTACTTAGACCAGTTTCTAGGCATAGTTTATCAAATCAGGGAGAAATGGTAGGACTTCAAGAGAATGTCTAGTAGTAGAGTTTATAAATGAAAATAAAAGAAGGATAAGGAATTTGAAATATAAAATTGAAAGTTTCCCTATGCAGTATACCAGTAAAGGTATTTGCTTTGTGTTTCAATATTTTTAAAAAGGAAAGATTTTATCAATAACACTTATTTATAACTTCCTAATGCTGTGCCAGGCAACTAGGAGATAGGTTCCATATTTCATACCTATTGCTGGACGTGCTGTGGACACTGCTTGTCCTGTGGCTTCCTGGGTACCACTTTTGCCTTCTGTTAAAATAAAGAGAAGACTATTTTTTCCTCTTCCTTCCTTACCATCAAAGCATAATGAATCTAATTTAGGGTTCTATAGGATGACAAATGTAATAGAGTGATGGCAATTGCAAGAGTAATTGCTGCATGCTAGTTTCAAAGAACCAAAATGGATTCTCATCTATTGTATCATATTTTTAAAAGATCACCATAAAATGAGTTCACATTCATTCACCCGTTCTTTTTGAGTTAGGGTTATTTGGTAAATGTCAGGGCATTCTGATTGCAGGCAATTCAATTTTCTATTGCCATCTTCTGACAGCAAGATAATTTTCCTCCCATTTACCCAAGTTTGGCTTGAGTGTGTCCTTAACCCTTCGGATCCCCTGACTCTAACCCACAGTTGACCCTTCCAATCTTGATCACAAGTTTTTCCATCAGAGTCAAAGAGGTTGAGCTGAGAAAAGCAGAAAACTTTTTTTGGGGTTGGGGAGACAATATTTACACAGAAGTAAGAACACTTTAATTGTACCCACTTGTCACTGTGAAAGAAGCAGACCATCTGGAAAGCGTCTGAGACTGGATGCCATTGGCAACTACTGAGGAATAGTTTTCTCGACCTGGTAGGCTGTAGATTCTTACAGGTCCCCCTGAGTTGCTGATTACCCCCCTGCAACACAAGAGTAACAGCTGAGACTCTATCCACACTTTTTCAGGGGCATTTGACTGACTTATATTGCCATACTGCACCTATTATTCGGATTAATCAAGAAAATAGTTCAG